AACGTGGTGTGCATGGAGATTGTTGGGAAGAAGTGAAATACAAATGAAATAGACGCGCACCATGTTTAAGGTTATTTTTTGCTTTTTGAAAACGTGGTTTTTTAGATTAATTTTTTAATCTACTAAATTTTTTTGTGCTTTTTAGTCTTACTTGAAAAACGTGGTTTTTTAGATTAATTATTTAATCTACTATAATTATTTCAATATAGGAACAAGAGCAAATATCTTATTTATTCTTGCAGAGCCAATAAAAAATTCAAGAAAGCAAGTACTTCCTATACAAAAAATAAATTTCACTTACGCGTATCGTCCAATTAAAAAAAAAATAAAACTCACCGGAAGTGCAGTTTAAAAAAAAATAAAACAAGCGTTACACCCATCACATCTCTCTTTCTCACACCATCAGACTATATCAAAAGAAATGGGCAAAGGAAGCGAGGGGTTCCACTCGTATAGGAACTACTTCATCTTGAACGGGGTCATCAATCTCTGACCATCCAAGGATCCTTGTGACAGGAAATTCTGCCTGCGATCCGCATCACCGGGGGGATCCTAGTTTTCCACTGGCATGGTGGGGGGATCCTGTCACATGATGGAAGCAGAGTGCTTCCCTGCACACACACACACACACAAGAGCACAAGGAGAAATTGCCTGGGTGTGGCATATATATATATACATAGGTATAAATATATATACTGTACAGGATATATCCCATATATAGTAGTATAGTATGTGTGTATATATGTGTCACATCTCTCCTCTATGCAATTCACACCTTCTTCTCTATATGCTATGGGATGGGGACTGAGGTGGAAGTGTGAATGTGTCAATGTCTTGTTTCTGATCATATGCAATCAACCAGGTTTGTCCTGCACCCCTTTTGAAACCCCTCCCATAGCATCCACTTGCTGTTTTGTGTAGCAGAAATATATATACACACACACACACACAAAAAAGGGGGGTGGAGGTCTTTCATGCATAAAATGCCTGGTGATGATTGTAGTTCCCAAGGATGAACCAGGAAATTCTGTTTTCAAAAAGGCATCATATATGCAGTAAAATCTTGTTACAACAAACTCCCAAGACTCTGAGGAAAAAATTGCTATAATGAGATTAATGGCTCTTTTAAGCATGTATAGGACTGGATTTAGTGGGAAACAGGTAATGGATGCTTCAAAGTACTTTCCCAACAGATGATGAGTGAACACTTTTGCCCAAATTTCAAACTTCTTTTGGTAAAATATAATAGAAAAAATATTCAAATCTTGAAACACAATTCTCTTGTTTCAGACTTCCCCTTCCTTATTTTTTTTTAATTATATCAATCTAACTGAAGTAGGAACAGAAAATACGTGCATAAAAAGAGCATTTCTTCATTATGAACTGCATGTTCCCTGGAACAGAGCAGTACAGTATATTCTTACAAACATTC